AAAAAGATAACTGACTGAGTTATTCTATTGACACTCCTTCCTGGACTTGGTAATCCATGGACTTCAGCATAATTTTCTAGAAAATTTTTTACCACTTCAGCAACACTTTTGTCAATCACCATCTTTGTTTTCCATTGAGGCATCCTTTTAATATTACCATGAACTCTTGTTAAAAGACCATGGTTTATCAGATGATTTCTGATATTTTCAAAATAAGTTCTACCAATTCCCAACATATTGAATAAGTTTCTTGACAAAGAGGTATATTGTGATCCCAGTGATAGAAAGTTCTTTTATTAGATCTGGTTTTCTTTTTAAGGCGTCTACTGGTGCTTATTGATCCACCATCCATTGCTTTAATCTGTGCTATTAAAAATATGTCTTGTTCTATTTTAGAAAGAGCTTGAAAGGATTTCAAGGTAATGTGCTACAATGTCTACCAATTTCTGATAATCAAAATCGTCTAGAACAGTTTCCCTCCCTCCATCTTTAACAGTCGTATTGCCTTGACACTTTCTTACAATTATATATTAATAATGATGTTATTATTATTGATTATGAGAAGCAAAACAATATCAATCATTCATTTGTTTATCATTGATAAGAATTTTCTATAATAGTTACCCAAAGACATACAAGTTCTGCTCCACATTTGATTTCAATAAGACATTTTATATAACTAAAAAGACATGTCAATACAATATAAAACAACTTCTTTGACTCTTTGTAAAAAATAAATTGTTTTTCAAAATAGATATTACACGAAAAAAAAATCAATTGCGTCCATAAAAAAAAACTTTGTACAACATTAAGTACTAATAAAAAATTGTTTTATGTGCGTTAATTCAATTAACTATTTAATAATCTTTTTCTAAAAAAAAAAATTAAAATGTCTCATCGTCTTAATAAAAAAATAAAAGGAAAACAACAAAACGAAGCTGTTCATGAGTAAGTATTGTTTATTAGTTATTATTTATGAGCTATTAAAAGAATTGCCACTTGTCATTAGTTAAAAAAATTTTTTTTAAATATTTACAACTTTATTTTTTTATTAGGATTAAATGTAATGATGACAACTTACTTAGAGACTTTAAGGCATTAACATCAACTGATAAAACACACAAAATTTTTCAATTTTTAAAGTGCTGTCCTCAAAGCACCTTAAATTACATAAAAGAGTTTGGTGGTTTTTTTTTCAATAATGATAATGATGATAATAATAAACACTTGTTAGAAAATATGTCAAACTTAGAACAGGAGGTTCACAAACAAAGTGAACATATATCAAAATTAAAGAACAAATTAATCATTGAGATGGACATTAACGAATTATTGTCAGAAGAGAACGAACAATTAAAATTAGAATTAAAATTAAAAAAAGAAAATAACAGATGTGAAAACAATATGTATAAGATATTGGGTGCGCAATGGCCAATATCATGACATCCTGGATGTCACTGAAATTGTCCATCGCATGCCTAATATCGATGTTATCGGGCAATCACTATTAAGCTATTCTTTCAAATGTCACTGTTTATTAAAGTTTAATTATATGATTTAGTTATATCTTATAGAAATGTTGTATAAATAGTATATCAATCATATTGACATCATTTTGTGCCTAAAATAACAAAGCAACCAAAAATAGCTTAATAGTGCTGTTTGCCCGATAACATCAAATGCAAAGTATGCTTGGATAAATCAATAACACATTGCTTCACACCTTGTAACCATTTTGTTACATGTGAAGATTGTTGTAAAAACATCGAGAATTGTATTATGTGCAGGGTAAAGGTTGAAGGCACTATAAGAATATATTTTTAATTTACTTTCTTTTTTACTTTGTAATTGATTGTTATAATAATTTAACTTTAATACTAGTTGAAATATTAACTGCTATTCATTTTCCAATATAATAATAATATTTATCATCAATAAATTGCTTGTATAAAAGTTTTATTTTATTGGATTTGATCAAGTTCAGAAACATACTTCACAAATTTGCATAATTGTGTATGAACTTAAATAGGGATCATTTATTAACAGTCAGCTAATGGTTTTAAGCATAGTGGAAATTTGAAATGTTACACTAATTTTTTATATTGTGCAACGTAACTTTATAATACACGGCAAACATTCTGGCAATAAAAAGTAAGTGATAAACTGGATTTGAATTGGATCTGAACTTGATATCCAACTTAGAGAGGTAACAACTATATACTGGCGAAGTTTCAGGAGCAACGGGTTCTGTATAAAATTATGTGCAACAACAAATTTCCACTATGCTATGGTTTTACTCCAAAAAAAACTGTCTTTACACTCTACAACTGTTTATAAAGTTTATAAAATATGAGAGGATTCTGGAAACTTATGGTCTTATTTATGTTTCTCTTGATTTACAAGAGAAACTAATTCCTTTACAAAATGTTAAAGTGATGCAAATGGTTTGTTATTCACAATTAATAAAATAATCAATTAATAATATGTTAGTAATACAATATTGATACCTGAAATCCTTGGTAATACCAATGTTCACTTTGTCTGGTTTTGTTGCAGTATGCCCCATATTAGGTATGTAATATTTGATATCATTCAAAATGATGTGAATATGTTAATATTGGATGGGAAACCTACATTTTTTTAGGGAATTTGGGTTGCTGAAAAAAATATATGTATTCATAATCGTGGCATTTATAATTATTTTGAAGCGCATTCTGCTTCGTATTGATTAAATAAATTGTTGAAGCTGAAAAGTTTTTAATTATCCACCCAATGCAAAGAGGAAAATGGTTGGGACGTGTCGTGTTTCGCGTTTTATTTATTATTATTATTATTTTTAATATACTAAGGTAACAGTTTTGAAATTGGCAAATCTGCTTAAATGTTGATTGAATTCATTCAAAATGAGGATCCTCTGGATCTAACTAATTGTTCTTCAAATATAGTAAAACATAATGGTTTTTGATTTCAACTCGTATATAAAGTTGCCCGCATTGGGACGTGGAACATTCTGAAAGATCAAAACTAATTATGGTAAATCAATATTAATGGATTTTTTAATTTTACATCGACGTTAAAAATGAGAATAACAACTCTTTTTTTCATGGACAAGTTATATTACGAAGATGGCTTTTAAAATATGATGATGATTTTTTCACCATTGGCATTTTTTCTCCTCAAATATCTCTCTGTACCGATAAACTAGAAATGATATACTATAATATATTCAAATATGGGAATAAAAAATTTTTTCGGACTAATTACATTTCAAAAATACGTATATATAATTTCTTCGCCGTAACAAGAAACTCCGGTGCACTAACCAATTTTAGAAAATATATGCAGATTTATAGGCGCATTTCATCATACAGAGTGAATCTCGATTTTAACGGATAGTTTGGGCAATTAGGGAAAATTTTCCAAAAATTCGTTAAACCGAGATATCCGCTATATCGAGAAGGTTTTTATTAAGGTTTATTATGAAACCGTTCTTTGAACTTTATCCGTAAAACCGAGATTTTTAATTAGTATCCGCTAAATCGAGGACCGCTAAATCGAGATTCACTGTGTATACATATTAATATTAATATTAATATGTAAACTCGATAAGTCGCTCATATGGGATGAGCTCATATGAACCAACTTATCTAATTAAAATTACTTAAATATTAAGAAAAAAGAATGAAAATTTTGGTCGACTTATCGAGTTTACATATATACGTAGTAACGGTCAATGATTATCACATGACTTTAAAAGCTAAAAATTAAAGTTAGAGACCTAAGCTTCATTTCCGTCGGGTTTACGTTTTTTAATTTTATTAGGCCTCAAAATTAGAATATTATATTTAATATGTAAATTGAAAATCTTTCCAAAGAAAAAAAGAAATATGATTACTTACTCTCTTTCTTTGAACCATACACTGGTGGTTGGTTGTCCAGTGTAAAATCGAACATCATTATCCAGTCAAATTTTGAAATTACTGGAGATAGTTTCTAAATTTGTACTAGTCACACGATAAAATTTACACACTGGGTTGGTCCGTCGCAATTATTATTGTTTTTATTGATAAATAAATAACCATTGTTGATAATAATAATGATGCAGGAGTGAGAAATTTTAAATAATTCAGCAACTTGCCGTCCTTTTTGGATTTTTAACTGTTAAAAACAATAATAATAATTGTAAGTCATTGAAAGTCACGCGCTAAATTTTCCCACGCACCAGTTTATTACAAAGTTAAATTGATCTACAATTGTTTAAAGGTCATACAATTCATTCATATTAAAAATTAAATTAGATTAAAAATAATATATGAAATATATAAATGGGATATAAATGGGATAAATATGAATAAATTGAAAAGAATTCTTCATTTTAAAATTCCATAGATAAAAATGCTTGGTTTATATTATAATAATAATTATAATCGATCAACTTCTTTACTGCTAGCAAGATTTAAAAATTCGTTATCAACAAGAACAAAACCATCTTCAATAATATTAAGAAACACCCGCAATTTAAAATCGATCGCACTACGGAGAGAAGATAAAAGTCGATGGGAACGTAGAGTTGCTTTAACACCTGACGCAGTATCCAATTTAATCAAAGAAACGGGAGTCAAGATTTATGTGCAACCATGCAATAAACGAGTCTTTAACAATGATAGTTATCTCAAGGTTATTATTTACTATAATGTTTATGATAAATACATTTATAATGTATATCATTTATATAAATAAATGTATATTGTAGGCAGGAGCAATGGTTCAAGAAGACATATCCAATGCGGATATAATCATGGGAATTAAAGAAGTAGAGATCAAGAACTTAATACCAAATAAAACATATGTATTTTTCTCTCATACTCATAAAGGACAATTGTACAACATGGGAATGCTAAAATATATCCTTGACAAGGTATTGATTAATTAATTGCGATTGTAATTGTAAATAATGAACATTTATTAATTCATATTTTCCTTTACGATCTTTATGATTATTCTTAGGAAATACAATTAATTGATTATGAATTGATGACTGATGATAAGAATAAAAGATTAGTTTTATTTGGGACTCACGCAGGATACTCGGGAATGATTGATGGATTACACGGGTTAGGGCTACGGCTCCTAGGGTTAGGATATAATACACCATTCATGGTAATAACCGCAACATAAAGAAGGTTGATTATTATTACTATGAAATATTTGTTGAACTAAAATTATTTTATTACTATTAAAAATAATATTTTAGCATATAGCAATGTCACATTCATATAAATCATTAGATAATGCAATAGCCACAGTTAAAGAATTAGGCGATTCAATTGTCAAAGATGGATTACCCGATGATTTTAATCCAATGACTTTTGTATTTACTGGCAATGGGAACGTTTCCAAGGTAGAAAAAAAAAGAGACAATTTAAGTAATGTATGTGAAACAAAAGAATTTCTTCATTAAAGTTTTTTTAAAAAAAATCATTCTTGCAGGGAGCACAACATATTTTCCAAAATTTACCACATGAAAATATTAATCCAAAGGATTTGAAAGAATGTGTTTCTGATAAACGTATGTTTTCTATTAAATTAATTCATTTACTAATAAACAATCAATTGATTCATCATCTATCATGTATTTATAATTTTCAATTTATGATTTTAGATAAATTTAGTAACAAGAAAATATATGGATGCCAAGTTAAATTAGAAGATTATTTGATTCGTAAGGATACAGGAAAATTTGTATCAAAACCAGATTATTATTCCAATCCAGGCAAATATTTATCAGAATTTCACTCAAAGGTAATTACTAACTGCCAAAAATTTATTCTTCAAAGTAAAAATTCACCAGTAAATAAGTATTTGCTAAGATTAATATTTTTGCTTGTGATTAGATTGCACCATACACATCTATGCTTATACATGGATCTTATTGGGATACCAAATTTCCAAGATTAATTACTACCAAACAACTGCGGGAAATTCAATCAAATCCAACCATTAAAAATAGATTGTTATGTATTTCAGACATTAGTTGCGATATAAATGTAATTATATATTTACATACTTACATGTGCATTCATAAATTGTATATTTAGTTGTATTTTTTTCTTGATTTGTAGGGAGCTTTGGAGTTTCTTTCACACTCCACTAAAATCGATGACCCATTTTATTATGTTGATGCTGTTAATAATAAAGAACACAAAAGGTTTGTATTTGTGAATTCTTTTTTTTTAAAAAAAAGTTAATGTGGACCTACTAGAATTTTGTTGGGTTTATTACTAGTGATGATGGTCAAGGGACACAAATAATGGCGGTGGATATTTTACCAACAGAAATACCACTCGAGAGCAGTAAACATTTTAGTAAATCTTTATATCCATTCATGAAAGATTTGGTTATTATTATTATTGTTGTTGTTGTTGTTGTTGTTATAAATTATTACATCGGAAGAAAAATATCATATTGATCCACAAAAATTTATTTTAATAATAACAGATTAATAACAATATAGAAAATAATCCTGTTTTATCAAGTGCGACTATAGCAAAAGATGGGAAATTGATGGATCGGCATAAAAATTTATATAACTTATTACCAAAATCAACAATAAATTCTACTTCTACCGCTACTGCCACAGCAAGCACTGAAACTAGTACTAAAAAAGTGACAATAAATAATCATATTAAGAAAAAGATTTTGTTACTAGGAAGTGGATTTGTTGCTAAGCCATTTGTTGATTATTTAAGCGCCAAAAATGATTTGGATCTAGTTATTGGTATGTTTTGGATTTATACTATGATTCTTGTGATAATCATTAGGATGGGAGATTTTAATATAATATTAATTAATTAATTACAAATATTTGTAGCAAGTAATGCTAAGGAAGAAGCAATTGCTTTGACACATGGAAATCCAAATATTCAAATTGTTAACCTTGATGTAAATAATAAACAAGACTTGAGTGGATTGGTGGAAAGGTCTGATGTTGTTGTTAGGTAACATACAAAAATCTATACATTTGTATTTATATATCTATTAAATATTTTCATATTCATACACGCTCATGAAAAAAATTACATTTAGTTTTATACCAGCACCTTTACATCCAATTGTTGCAGAGCAATGCATCTTGCATGGAAAACATATGATAACTGCCAGTTATATATCACCAGAGATGAAGGCCTTGGATGAACGGTAAATTTAACATATGGATTTGTAATCATTTATAAATATAATTATATTTACAAAAAAAATTATTGTGTCGTGTAGTGCCAAGCAAGCGAATATAACTATATTAAATGAGATAGGAGTAGATCCTGGGATTGATCATTTATCGGCAATGAAAGTAATCGATGAAGTGAGAGATGAGGGAGGAGAAATAACATCATTTATTTCATGGTGTGGTGGATTGCCAGCTCCAGAAGCATCAAATGTTCCATTGGGTTATAAGTTTAGTTGGTCACCCAAAGGTGTGCTCACTGCAGCTTTAAATGATGCAAAATTTTGGATGAATGGAAGGGTAAATATTATGCTTTTAGAAGAATGTTGGGGAGGGTGTTATTAATGAATATATAACTTACTTTTTCTACATGACTTGTATGATTTTATAGTACCAAGAAATTCCAGGAGGAGATTTGCTCAAATCGCATTTTCCATCAGTATTAACATATCCAGGATTTGCATTTGAAGGTTTAGCAAATAGGAATTCATTGTCATACATTGACACATATGGTTTATCACCTTTGGAAACAAAAAAAGCAATGTTCAGAGGTACCTTAAGATACAAGGTATGAACGAATGAGCGAATGAATGAGTGAATGAACGAATGTGATTTAGTGTATTAATTAATTATTATTTAAAGAAATTAATCACAATTAATTAATTAATCATAGGGGTATTCAGATTTAATGTATTCATTCTATAAACTTGGATTATTGGATACTAAACCATTTAAAAATTCGAATCTTTATAATTGGGTGAATATTAAAAATTCTTTTTGCAAATATATTTATACACACATATATATATTATTTAATAATAATATTATTATTTTTTTTAAAGTCTGATTTTTTTGATAATTTATTATTTAATAAATTAAATGGTAATGGTAATATGATGACAATGATAACCGAATCTGATAGGATAACAGCTATTTCAGAAAAATTGAATTTAGCTAAAGACCATTATATGATCGATCAGGTTGTTGATTCATTAAAATGGTAAATTAAAAAATTAAAATTTATTATTATTGTTGTTGTTATTATTATTGTTATTATTATTATTATTATTATTTCACTTATTCGCTTATTATAATCTCTTTCCAGGTTATCATTGATGTCAACAACATCCACCAATAATAATAATAATAATAACTTGCTGAAACCAAAGGATATTATATCATCTTCATCAATAGCACCAATTGATTTATTTTGTACGTTATTACAACAAAAGTTAAAATATAGTTCGCACGAAAGAGATTTGTTAGTTTTACATCATGAATTTGGAATCAAATTAAAAAATGGACAAGATGTAGGTATAATTAGGGGTAGTGTATTCATTTAGGAGCACATTCATAATTAGGGGTTGTGTGAATTTATTTAAGGAAACATGTGTATATGTATACATATATTAATCGCTTGTTCGCCCTAAATATTTAATAATAATAATAATTAAATAATAGCAAATTAAGACATCGTCATTGGTATCTTATGGATCATTAGATACTTACACGGCAATGGCAAAAACTGTAGGATTGCCGAGTGCGATTGCCGCAGAAATGGTTGCAAGAGGTCAGTAAATTATTAATCAGGATAACAATGTATTAGATTAGTAATCAAACGATCAATCGGCAAATCAATATTCCAAATTAAATTAATCAATCAAAAAATCAATAATAGGTGAAATTAAGGAAACAGGAATCTTGTCACCAACTACGAAATCTACTTATTTACCGATTCTAGAAAAATTGGAAAATGAAGGAATAAAAATTGTAGAAAATGTGGAATGTCATCGCAAAGAGACGAGCCAGAAGTTGGAGTGTAGTGGTAGTGGAATTTGGAATTAATTGATGTGATTTTATTATTATTATTGTTAAACTTTCTTTAGTCATAATATTTATTTATTTATTTATTTATATTTATTTACTTATTATATTATTTTGTTTATTTATTTATTATTTTACATAATCTAATGTTCAATATGTTCAATTTTAATATTTAATAAACTAATACTAATACCAACAACAGCCTTATTAGTCATGTGACGATTGTCCTTGATTCTATCCTCTTAAATTATTTTTTTAATTATACTTTTAAGAATTGTGTGTTTCATAAATCTAAAAAGAATGTTCATTTTCTTTTTCTTTTTCTTTTTTCCGGTGCTTGCTTTGTGGACTTAACACGGAATTCGGAAGCTTAATATACATAAAATTTTTATCAATAAGAAGGATATTTATCTCGTGACCATATTAAGGATTTGTTTTTGTTTTGTTATTCCAATTAATTAATAAACAATAAATAATTCAAAAGATGGGAAAATGTATGAATTATACAATTTTTTACCAAGATCAAGTGAAAATAAATAAAAAAGTACACAAGCCTCAAAAAAAGAAACAATAATCACAAAAACAAAAACTCCAATAAATAATATAAATGGAATTTGTTTTGACAATAACTGCTAAAGCGATGTGACTTGTTTATGACTTGGTAAACAGCGTGTAAAGGGCTTGAGCTCAAAAGGTTCCTTCCTTCCCCTACCTGATTATTTATTCCACTCAAAGGGCCGTCAACAGATTCGGTTAACTCGAAAGGATACCCTGCATAGCCAGGGTGAAAACCTTATGCTGGCTGACTCAAGATGAATAAATATTTTTTTTAAAGACACTGATAAATCTTTGGTGTATATACGAAAAGCCGCAATACATTTATTTAAAATGAATTTTCTAATGAAGAGAGAAAAAGAGAAAGCAATAAATAAATTTATCTAAAATAGTTGTTCTTAAATCCGGTTTAATCCGGTTGCTGTTCTCTCTTACTTTTAATTAAGTAATGCTCTGCAATGTAATGTTGTACGAGATTCTCTCTCATTCATTCTCAAAAAGGGTGAAATATAACAAAATAAAATATTTTGTTGGTAAAAATAGTTAATTCTAAAATAAAATATAAATGCGTGTAACAAAGTTAATAAAATTTATTATAAGTTAATAGAGTACACAATTAAGTTGTACAAAGAATCATTGAAACGATTGAATATTCTTAAAAAAAAAAAGAACAATAATAATAATAATGAAAATAATATTAATAAAATAAATAGTTATTAATAATAGTAAAATAATAATTAAACAATTAATAATAATAATAATGAATTTTTTACCTCCAATCAATTCTATTTTTGTTAATTTTGTTCAACAATAAATAAATATGTACAATTTTATAAAAATCCTATGAGATAGCACTTTTATTTTTTTGGTCCTCCCTCCAAATAAAAAATAATTTTCTCCTATTTGAATTTCAAAAAAATTTTTTTTTTTTTTATTAACCCAAGAGCTTGACGCTTTTTAACATTTTTTTTATAAATATATATAGAATCTTTTTTTTTTACCGCTTGCGGAAAAAATATATATACAACGCTATATCCTTTCTTCAGATCATAATATATACTATCTATTTTACAAGGAGCTGCGCTACCTTACAAAAAACATCAAGAAAGAGAAAAAAAAAAACTGGTTTTTTTTTTAACAAACTATTACATTTTCACATTACAACATTTTAATTCAACACACACACACATACACATCATATACATACACACACACTCATATTTACATATATACATTCATATATAAATTATATACATATTAATATATATATATATAAATTATACAAATACATAAGAAATATTAAAAATGAATCCATCAGATAATAACAACAATTCATTAAAACATCCAACCCCTATGGAGCAGGTTGATGAACTTAAATATTGGTTAGCCACAGCACCTGCAAACTGGGATCCTGATCAGAACATTCAAAAATTCCAATTACCAACTGGTGAATGTATTTCATGTGTATTATGGAACAGTCTTTATCACATAACTGGTACTGACATAGTACGAAGTTTGGTATTCCGTTTTCAAGCATTTGGTAGACCAGTAAGGAATATTAAAAAATTTGAAGAAGGTGTTTTTAGCGACTTGAGAAATTTAAAACCAGGAACTGACGCTTCGCTTGAAGAACCAAAATCAGAGTTCCTCGAAATGTTATACAAAAATAACTGCATTCGCACCCAAAAGAAACAAAAGGTCTTCTATTGGTATTCAGTTCCACATGATCGTTTGTTCTTGGATGCCTTGGAAAGAGACTTGAAACGTGAAAAATTGAACGCTGAACAAACAACCGTGGCTATCGCTGAACCTGCATTATCATTTTCATTTGACTCAACACAATCGTTATACGATCAATTCACAAAAGGTTGCTTCTCGCTTTTCCAATCAGTTCAAACCTGCGAAATTCAAAAACCTCAAATGTATCCAACACCAGAGCTTGAATACCACACAATAGAAAGTGCATTTGAAGCAAGCACCACAGCAAGCGCATCACCAGAATGCTTCAACTCACCATGGAGCACATCATCAATCGATGATCAATATATCGATGATAGTCGTCACTCATCACCAGACCATTTGGATGCAAGCATACTCCAAGCTATCGTCCCATCGTCCACCGTCGCAACTCCATCACCGTTCAACAACAATCCAAATGTTACGGTTGCCACAGCTGCAAATCTTTTTGGAATGTTTTCAATCTTTGAAGGCTCTCCTACCTACAAACAAAGAAGAAGACGTGCAAACTCATGCACAAATATGAATAACGAACATTGCAATAACAGCGATGACAATTTATCACAACAACAACATAGATCAAATAATGCAAATTGTCCATATCCAATGAAAACCTATTCATGTCCATTTCAATCATGCGGGCGTCTGTTCAAACGTCTCGAACACTTGAAAAGACACGTACGTACCCATACAATGGAGCGTCCTTATTCATGTTCAGTATGTGGTAAAAGATTTTCCAGATCAGATAATTTGGCTCAACATCGTAAAACCCATGAACGTAGCTCAAGCAATTCCCCACCACCATTAGACGATTCATCAAATGCTTCAGATGTCGAATACGAAAAAAGTGTCATAAATGAGTGCTACACTTATGACAGTCCAAATATTCCTTCCTGTGTTCCTGATGGCCTTGCCGTATACACCACTGCCGACAACTCATCATATCCTATATTCAGCATACATCCAAATTCATACTTGACGAACAATGCTGGCAACGAGATTTTAATTTAAAATAAGGATCCCAAAAAAAAAACCAAAATTTTCTTCTTTCTTAAATTATTGGGTGGAAAAAAAGGATACATTTATATTTTTATATATATATATATATTTATATTTACACGTTACAATTTTTTTATTTTTCTTTATATATTATTCTTGGGTTTTAAAAAAAAAATTTTTTTAATATGATAGTTAATGCGTGACCGGTTCCTTTTTTATATTAATTTTAATATTATTATTTTCTTTTCAATAATATAAATTAGAATGGAGGGCCCAAACAAAAATTTATGATAATTTTTATTTTTTATTTTTGAAATTTTTTAAACTTTATTTTCATTCTTTATTTTGAAGGAAAAAAAGAAAAAAAATAATTTGAACTGGTTTCTTCTTATTTATTTTATTTTGATTTTTCTGTTCAAAATAATTTTATTGAAATAAAGAAATTAGAAAATTTTTGAATAATAAAATAAAAATAAAAGTTTCTCACTTTATACATTCTTTCTTTCTTTCTTTCTTTCTTTACTATTTTTTTTTATTAACATCATGTTTACATGATGAATACATTTTTTTTTTTTTTTGTACATTTTTTTATTTTTTTCATTTCATCTTCATTTCATTTCAAAAAAATCCTTTCCTTACATTTTACAATCTTCCATAATATTTCGTAATCATTCACAATCCTTAATCTCATTTTTTTTTCAAAAATATATGTTATTATTATTGTTATTATATTTTCTTTTAATTAAAAAAAAAAGATAAATTTTTAGGGAAAGTTCAAAGGAAATACTAATAATAGCGAATGTATAATATATAACTCCCTTCCTGGCCTTCCAGGTTTATCTTTTTACTTTATTCTTTTTTTTCTTTTTTTTTCTTTGTTAGTATGTTTAATCAATTAATTTATTTTAGGAAAAAAAAAAAATAAATAAAATAAATAAATATTTTTTAAAAGAATATCACGACATAATATATTTTTTCAAATTTTATAATTTTTTTCCCTAAAAAAAAATTTCCTTTTGATCACCTTAATTATTTTTTATATTTTTTTTAGGGAAAATTGTTATTATTTGAAAAAATATCAAAAAATTCAAAAAAAAAATTCAAAAAATCAAAAAAAAAAATCTCAAAAAAAATTCAAATATGATTTTGATCTTTTTATTTTATTTATCTAATAGATAAATAAAAATAAATAAAAGATCAATAAAACAAACAAAAATTTTTAAGTTTATAGTATTAATAATATTATATATATATTATTATATGTATACTTTATATGATATTTTTTATATATTAATATAGAGAAGTAAATAAATTTTTTTATTTATTTCAATTTTTTCATAATTATTTTTGAAGAACCAGCCAGGCAGGGAGGGGATCCAATTTATTTTTTATTTTTTATATTTTTTTTCAATTTTTATTTTTATTATCTCAAAAATAAAAAATAATAACAATAATAATAATATAAAATAAAATAAAAAATGAAAAAACTTCAAAAATTATTTTCTTTATATTTACAAATTGAAATTAATGCGTCGATTTGATTTTATAAAATAATAAATTTTATATAATGAATTTTTATGTAATCATGATAAAAAATGTCAATTTTTCATAATTCTTTTCTTCTGATCATCTTTTGCTTTTTTTACTTTTTTTCTTTAAAACATAACAAATTAAAAGTGGAATTAATACTTTGCCCAATACAATATTTTCAATTTTGAACAAAATTTTTGAATATACTGTTCAATCCATACTAACTTTTATTATCGTCGCATCCTTATTTATAATAGTTGTTATGTTTCCTTGGCGATAAGGTACCAATTAAATTATTATATTCATGATTATTTTAATTAAAACAAAAAAAGGATGGAGTTGGGGTGATCGCAGTGGTGGAGATGGCAAAATTGGAAAATACGGTTTATTCTATAATAATAACACTGGTACTGGAACTTATGATCCATCCTTTGATCGAACGTGGGGCCGATTTCGTTGTGATATTGACAAGGTATTTGATGACTGTTTTAGTGGTGGCGGCATTGGAGGAAGAGATCGTGAGGGTTATGGAGGTGCTGGTATCGTAGGATCTCCAATAACATGGGCACAGTTGGTGTTTGTGCTTTTGATTTTACGCCTGCAGTTGATGTTAAAGATACAGAAAATGAAGTCATAGTTCACGGTAATTTTTTAAGAATATTATTATTTGTTATACATATAAACATGTGTTTATATTTCATCATTTGAATAATCATTTAATTAATGATTTGTAGCTGATTTACTAAAGAGAATATTAAAAGTATTATTCTATTATCTGCTTTAATCAATTATTATTATTTTCGTTAATATGTATTATATAATAATATGGTCGATATTCGTGACGATAATTTAGTTATCAGGCAAAGCAAATTTTTTATTTTTAGTGGATAAACATCCAAGAAAAATTCTTGGGATACTGCAACTGATTGGACTAGAGAACGCCATTATGGTCATTTTATGCGTTCTTTACCGCTTCCCACCAACGTTGATCGTGATAAAGTTGATGCACGTTTAGATTTGGGTGTGCTCGAAATTAAGTTATTATTATTCATTATTAGCTTCCAAGAACTGAAGGGTGCCACAGTCAAGCGTATCACTGTTCAATAAATAATAAAAACATCAATAGTAGCTTTATTTTATGGTTTTTTTAAAAAATTTATATTAGCAATTAAAAATAAAAATGCAATTTGATTATTAATCTCAACTAAATTTCTTTATCTTGTCTATCTAACTTCCTCATTAAGATCGCGATTGTGTTTATTATTTACTTTTAGAAAGTCAGGAATATATATTTTTTTTTGAACCTTGATTTTATTTAAATTTTTCTCGCCAAGAAATTATTATGAAACGGTCTTCTTATCTTCATTCCCAAGTTTGAATACTGACTGTAACTGATGTCCATGAATAGATTCGTAATACATTTTTATTTTATATCTAGTTCGATTTGCTTTATCCTGTCGATTTCGATATTTCTCTTTAAGCAAATTCCAGTAAAAATATCTGTTTGATTATGAGCATGACGGCATCTAAGGGCAACAACGGTGGCCATTTTGTGTTTCACAAGTGAATAGATGCTTTTAAATGAGCAATATATATCTTAGAAAAAATCGTAGATAAGGCAGAAAGAAGTAAGTTCTCTACGAAAACTGCTTATTTTATACAAATGACGTTTTTAGAAATACAAATTCCAACAGGCTCGAACTTGAGGTTAGAGACCATTTGGTTTGCCCATCTATCTAATAATGTTCTTACTACCAACTTTGACATCTGCGCATTTTATCCTGGAAGTGTAAAATACAAATGCATGCAACAAGGGACTAGAATTTCTGATTATTTCAAGAAGGACGAACCACCTGCAAATGAAACTCATGTTCATTCTCATATACTCACCCCCTGTTCCTCCTCCCTAAGAAGAACGAATAATTAAAGTCAAAGCTTGTCACACACGGTTCCATGTGGATTTTTATTTGTCTTCCACTGTAACAAGAAATGGTTAATTATAAAAGTTTACGAGCCCACTATAACGAGCCTCGACTGTATAAATTTATATTCACATTCATTAAATTTATTTCAATGACGTATTATGTGTGATACTTTACCCGACAATCCTTTTTTCACATGGGATGAGTTGCTAGGGAAAGTAATGCTTTAAAGTACAATGTTGGAGAGTCAAGTTCACTCTCCCGTATAAATTTCAATAATTATTGACAACATTTTATTAAATGGTCAAAAGTACCTGGACACTAATTTCTTAAAACTCCACATAGTAACTCAATATGTAACCTAGTACTAGGTTGTAATAATTACGAATGTAAAATTTAATAATAATAATTTAAATTAACAAAAATGATATCCTTTTTTTTGTCAGTTATTGGTTTAGGTCAAGTATGTAGATTTTCCCCATGTAGTTAATTTTCTTTTTTTTTCGTTTTTTTTTAATTTTAAAAATTTTATCAAAACCTGGTCTATAAGTTTAATTCCAGCAGGCGTGCGTGTGTTATCATGATGCTGCGCAAAAATTGCGGACACAATAAGTCTTAATATTAGATATCAAAGACTGTTTGGACAGTTAAGTTTTTTTTTACATTTAATTTGTTAAAAATACCATTTTATTATTTTATTATTATAATTCAATTCAAATTATTAAAGAATTTATACATATATTAATTCAAATTATTCGTTGTGATGGGTTTCTACGTCCCTATAAAAATTTTTTTTTCAGAAAATATATAGTTTTTGCATATTAACACATTTTCGTCCATTTCGTGACGGAATTGTACATGAAAATAGCACATATTGGTCCTGGAAAACACATTCCATAGATTCTCCGCAACATTCTCCGTAACATTTTCCGGAATTTCGGTACATATTCCATTTTACCTCGACCGGGAAAAGATAACCGATGATAATCACCACGGTGGATTTAGCGAATTTTCTGTCAGAATTTGTCTCTTATTATTATATCCCACCATAGCCAGAAGAAATAGAACAGCCTATCGGAAAATGCTCGCATTAAATATTTAATGCTGCGACTAATCGAGGAAATTGATCTTGCTCTAACACTATAAATATACAGCAATCCATTCGATCAATCATACATATTGCAATATACTTATATTCCGCTCCGCTATAAGGTGAAAATTGGATCGTATACTAATATTTGAATAAATTAAAACGTGTTTATTGTTTAGGTGACGTCAAAGTGTAGAAGCTGCAAAAGAAGATTTATATTGATTCGCACATAAATTACATTTGAAGGATTTAATCTTCCGTGACGTTTAAAGCTTCAATTTTTCCAAAATGACTCTATGAATCAGAAACAGGTAAATTATTAATACTATCGGAGTTTGTTTCTGAATCAGGAAAGTCTTAAAAATTTTCAGTGCTCCCATAACTATTATTGTTTGGATAAATATTCATCCAAGTATAAATTAGAATGATATCTTGTATACCGGATTTACAATATATAAAAACAATAAAGCCATTATTAGTCTTGTATTAACTCGATTTATTTATATTTATGTGAAAGATAGATGGTAACGCTTATCAATATTCTTCAAGAACCAAGCAAAAGAGCAGCTCTTATCTTTTTAACTTATTATAGTAAACTCCATCTCAAGTCTAGACCGCGGAGTCCGAGAGTCCGATTGTTTTGGAACAATAATTCCAGATTCTCAATCTCCTTTGTATGAATGAATATAAAAACAACTATATATTAATAAGCCATTGACTTAAAACGTTCAAATATTTACAAAAATAATTTGGGCAACTATTACGACGACTATAAACAACTAATTATGGCATTATAGACATGACTTTTTTAATTATTGAGATGGAAACAACCAGAACACGCCCTTGATTTGATTGCTGGTGTTTAAATTGGACCACAATATTAACAATTTTATTATTAAACACAATAATAATGGCTCTGAATAAGTTCATTAAAGGAAAAAACCTTATTTTTTCAAGCAAAGGTTACATAATGAAATCTGTGTTATTAGAATCCTTAAGTTTCAAAAAAAAAAAATTTTTCTTTGATTAGAAAGGTAAAAATAATCTTTAAAGGTTTCATTCGTTATCGTTATGTCAGATTCCATTTACTATTATCAAATATATCTTGAATTGTGTAAAATTAATTAAGACTAAATAGAAAAATAATAAATAAAAAGCTTGAAGGCGTTTTTATTAGTAATTTACTGATTTATTTATATTTTTTATTAGTTGCACAATCATTCGATTTCACGATTATCCCGCTTTTTTAACAAGAATTGGTAAAAAAATTTTTTTAAAGTTTGCTTGATAAATAATTTTAATAATATAAAATCTTATATAATAAAAATTTGTATATAATAATAAAGGACTCAAGGCACACAATGATGCTTCAAAAAAAAAAAAAAAAATCGAAAATAAAAAAATATGAATTTTCTGCCTAAAGAAATAAAAGAAAAAATTTTCATATACAGTCCTAAACCACTTTCCCTAATTTTACTCGATAAAAAATGGCACGAAATGTCATGCGAACCAACAATTCGAGCAAAATGGGTAATTCAAAATTACGGAAAAGCAAATACTTTATTCCATGCGATCCGATTTGGAGAACATTTTATCCCAATGGAGTTGGTCAAATTTCTTATCACAGAAGAAAAAGTGATTTTATCTAGATATTTTGCGCAACGGTTGCATTTACAGTTCGGGAAAACAGATGATACCTTGATTGAACTAAAATTTAGAAATGACGTCAATATCACTATCAATAATAACAACATCAATAACAACAACAATAATAATTTCAGTAATGCAAATCAAAACGCGTCTAAAGTTGCGCAAAAATATTTTAGAAACCCATGGGGTTCGAGTATTTCATTACATGCATTCATCGATTTGTTAAAGGAGGCCAATGAACTATATGGTTCAGATCTTCCCTTAAAAGGAAATGATATTGAAAAATTTCATTTCTTAACTGGTGGACCATTACCTATAAACTTGGCACCAGCAAAATTAAAAGAAAACCTTGAAGAAATTAAGGATCTTATACTTAATAAAAAATTTGTACCTTTTCCTCCAAGACCAACAGTTTTGTTTGAAGACACAATTGAATACCAAACAGAAATGCAAATCATAAATTGTGAAGAGTTTCCAGCCAAAGATGGCTTTGAAAATAACAAACAATTAAACATGATTGCTAGAGCAATATCAATTTATCCAGAAATTGTGGAACTATGGAAACAAATTGGTTACCCTGACATTTGTATTGATGTTAATAATTTGGTGTTACAAGGTTCTTTGTTAATTCTATATCCAAATTCAATAAATGAAGATTGTGTCTCCCCAACTATAAATGATTTTGTTGAATGCATACAAAAATTTATCAAGGTTGGATTCAAATTGACAAAATCTGTTATGGTGGATATTTTATTTTCGTATGAACAACATCTCACCAAAATTGGAGAATCACTTATAGAAGCATTCCAAACAGTAAGGGACCAACCAAAAATCGAAATTGTGGTACTTTGCATTGTGGAAGCTATTAAAGACAGCAGAAATTCGAAAAATCATCAAGTTTTAGATTTTCTTAGGATGCAACTTGAAGAAAATGATTTAGAACCTGTTTATCTTAGTGCTTTAGTTTACCATTATTTTGATGATATTACTAGGAACAAATTAATTGAATTTAAAAGATTTGGATCAAGCAGATCTTCTACTCATAATAATGATGACAACAATAACAACAACATCAATTTGACCAGCAACGAAAAAATTATTGAAGCTATTAATCATTACTATATTCATGGCTATAAATATCATCCACATGACATTAAGAATTTTAGAAATGTTTATTATTGGACAAAGTATTATATTGAAGTGTTGATATGTGACAATGACTTTAAATTTATAAATTCAAACATTGAAAGCCCAATAAACAATATAAGAACATTGAAGTTAAGTAGCAATTTGTATGAGTGGGTACTAAAAAACTTCAAACCTGATTCAATTGTTACAAGATTATGTTTCAATGATATAATTATATCCAAGACTTGGATTGATAGAGAATTGTTACTTCATCCTGAAAGACAGGTACCAGAAAAAATAACCAGTCATGCATTTGA